ACTTTTTCAGACTTGCCTACGAATAAACTTGTAGAAGAAAGTTTGACTGCGTTTACATCATACTGCTAAGAAGCCAATAATAGTTTATTTTTTATTCAAATGGAATCAAAACAATAAAAAAAAAAAATAGTTCATGGTCGGATTCGATCCCATTACCCATCCGCCATCTTGAATTTTACAAAGCGAGAACGTTACTGATAGACTAAATCGGTAGTTTTAGGTGCCGAAAAGGTGCCAAGAGGTGTGAAAAGGTGCCAAGAGGTGCCGAAAAGGTGCTGAGGTGCTATACTAAAAAAAGTGCTTTTTCCCCCTTGCCAAAACATCACATTTTTGTACGCTGGAAGAATCGTTATTCAATTGTATCCTATTTCAGCCATCCATCATCATCTGGTGTAAGTTTAAGAATGAAAATTATTGAAGAAATATTGAAAATTGATATATATGTTGAGGTATCAATTTTTTTTAATCACTAAAAAAAGATAGTTTTGATCATCTTAAGCTTAAAATGGAGCTATTCGTAGCTGCAAGATTTCTCTGTAGCGAAGCGTTATAGAGGGCCCAGACTGATCTTAAGTTGATGAAAACACATCTGGTTATAGACTAATAGAGCCGGATTTTTTATATTTTACTTTTCAAATTAAAGATCAACGTCAAAAGTTCAAAATTTGAAAAATTCTCATTAACTTACATAAAGATATTTTTCTAACCACAAATCCAGACCGAATATCAAAAATTGGGCTCTATTAGCTTCGAGCCACATGTGCTACCTTTAGTTTAAGCCCTTCCCGAGCTCTCTGCTATGTTTCGTTACTGAGAAATCGTGCAGCTACGAATGGTGTTAAGATGAAAGTCGCTTTCCACATATGGTGGCGCCAGTATCTGATGCATGTTTTAGGACTTGCAGTAAAACTCTCATAATTCTTGATTAGAAAAACATTCAGAGCTGGGAGATATCTCACTTTGATAAAAAATGTCTGCTCTATTTCCTGGTGCTATTGAAAATATTTTTGGATTTGTTTTTTATCGGAAAGCAAAATTTTTTCGACAGTCAGCTTTTCAAGGTTTTCAGAAAACTTTTCTAAAAACACCTCCATACTTCTTCAATGAGGACCAAATAACATTGGATCCTAATAGTAGATACTGTGGGCTATCTGGTAATGTGCTTAGCTCAATATCAACTTTTTATAAAAAGTTATATGTTTCTAACGGAAACATATCTATTTACAATTGTAACAATATGTTTTCACATATTGTTTTATTTTTTGTTCTGTACATTATATTTTGGTGCATGCTATTAAAGTGATACTGTAATCTTACTAAGAATTGGTGATCAAAAGTATATTTATCCTATATGTTGTAGGCAGGCAAATTTTAAGTTTGACTGTAACGTATATGTCTTTGATATCCAATAAATAAATATATTTTAGGCGAAATGGTATAATTCCAGTTAATGATCAAACAAAAAGTTGTTGTGCAAAGGTTTACACGCAAAATGAGTACCAGTCAACAAGTCTTTTTATATTTGAAAGTATAATTTGTTGAAGAAAAACTCTGTTTTTATTATAATATATGCAGTAATATTCTATTTTAAAGTGTCCAACTCAAAAATGGAGTACAATATTTTTAAATTCGGGGTCTCCGAAATGTGTCATAGTTTCCATTTGCACGAAACGTCGGGATTTTAAATGATCCAGTCCTTGAGGTTTTAACTGACGGGATTTTGAATGAGACCAGTTCGATACCGAACTCACATGTATGACTAATATTAATCTAGCATCCGTTCTAACATCCAAGGTCATGGTGAAACTTCGACTGTTTCGACATTGTCTATTTTTGTAACACTAAGTAGTTGTCGTACAAAAGTCCATTATGGATTCTAAAGTGATAATTTTTTGTAACAATGAATTGGAGTGAACATTTTTTTTCATGTTCGATGGTACTTATCCGAAGCATTTCATGCGATAAAACTATAATGAAACTAGACAAAAGTAAAATGAACATCATGACAAAAAATAATGTACGCGAAAACTTAAAAACTATTATTCTTTAATATCCTCCAGAGCAAGTTTTGGAAACAATTTTTTCGTATTTTAATATAATCGCTAGTATGTTCAACGATAATATTATCTCTTTTTTTTGATCTTCTCATCCTACACTCTAACATCTTTATAATGACAGAAAGAAGCATTTGTATATAAACTTTATGTGTATCAACAGCAATTTATGGACGTTTTTCTATTTATCTTTGATATTCTTCGTGGTATAGAATTCATTTGGAAGTGGGAACTATATTATGAAGAGAAAAAAAAAGAAGGAAGACGAAGATATGTTATTTCTGGAAACAGTGTGTGCACAAAAGACGAGATATTATTCTCTAAATTGTTTTGGTAATAACAGATTTCTTTTTCTTCTTTTTTCTTGCGTATAAAAACAAAAAAAGAAAATAACCTATTTGTCCATACTGTAAGTGGAAATACAATTAGAGAGTTTTTCTGCTTATTTCCTACGCCAAACGAACAAGACGTTGTTATTCTCATTTTCTGGTTATACCACATCCTTTCTTTTCTTTACTCGATCGAAGTAAGTACTAGGTTTGCAGACAATTTTTTGTTGTTATTTATTTTGTATGTGATTATACAAGATTTTCAATTATTTTAGGAAAATTGAAAATCGTTCGACAACTTTTGTTCGGTAATATTAAATAATCAGTAAGTTAATTGATTTTTATAAGAAAATTTCGTAACTAATGCAACCGTTTTGAACAAAACAACTGCATTAGTTATAAAATTCCCATTTAATATTAAATGTTTTTACAGAATATCATTAATATTTTTTATACAATTAGTGTCTTCGGGATCGGCATTTAGCAATGTTCTCAAAGCAAAGGAAGATATGCAAAAATCTCCTGAACAGTTGGAACAAGAAAAACGTTCAGTATTAGCTCAACGTATTCAACCACTTCAATTAGATGGAAAAACCAAAGATCAATTAATTGAAAAGGTAACTGCACGTGTAATTCTTAAACCTGCATAAATGTGATATGAAGAATCATTGAAAGTATTGCTGATACCAATACAAAATATTTTCTCATCTATTTTTACAACTTTTTCGCCAACGGAAATTAATCTAAATATTCGACTGAACTTCCACTTGTTTTGTAAAAAAAAAATCACTAAAAGTGGATCTATAAAGGTATTTTATCAAATTCTGGAAAATTCCAATGAAAGAGATATATGACGTGAGTATCAAAAGTTCATTATTGCCCGTTGTCTCGTGTTTGTTCTCAGTATTTGATTTTCTCTAATTATACTCTAATTGTTTAATGAAAATATAAAATATATGTGACATTTTCATTTGATATTAGGCTAAACAATTACATAATGCGTTAAGTCAATTGCATGGTGCCATCTATGAATTAACAGATCGATTTGAACGACAAAAATATGATGTAAGTATAAAATATAATTACGTACTTTCAATACTTATCTCTGGTATAATCATTCTTTTTTTTACAGATGGTTGAATTAAGTGAACGAGCTCGTCAAATTGAGAAAGGGTAATGAAAATTAAATTATTTATTGTTTATTCATGCATTTTATTATGAAATTTTTTCTTATCAATTTTTAGAAAAGCAAAAACTCGTAAATCAAATATTGTTCATACTGGTCTCGGCGGTGGAATGTAAACATAATTTTTCTATTTTTATCATTCGTAACTTAATAAAATATTATTTTAAATTATAGATTCACTGGTCTAAACGATGTCACTGTTCAAGCACCGGTATAAATTAGACTAAATTGATAGATCTGTCGTTGAACTTTTCTGTAATTTTCAGCCAAAAGTGTCGTTATTTTCACGATATGAACGAGTTACTGATCGTCGTACATACAAAGATCGTCGAGATGTATGGGCTGAAGAAAAGAAAGCTCAAGAATTTGTAGCTGAACGACCAAAAGCTAAAATAAAACATGTTACACCGTACGTAATTAGATAATAATATATCTCAAACAGATCATCCTGCTATGTTGAATTTTTGTAGACCACCAGAAGATAATCCATTGAAAAAAAAAGAAAGTAAAAGACAAGAGAATGAGGAGTCACATGAAGAAGCTCCAGCTGAAGAGGAAGCGCCTGCTGAAGAGCCAGCTGAAGAAGAAGCACCAGCAGCAGAAGAGGAAGAAGAAGAATAGAGAAAAAATTTTTAATTTCATTAACAGTTTGAATATTTATTTTATTTGTCATTTCCTAAATTTTGTCAATGAATAAAAACAGTGTTTTTTTTTGTAAGTTTTTTATTAGAATACTGGCAACAGTCCATTAAAAGTAATAAATTTTTTCTATGTATATACTACCTTCATAGATGACGTTTGCTCTTTGGTGGTGGATGATGAATACTGAAAATAAGACTATTTGCACTTCATATGTAATTAAATTATAAGTAAAGTAAAAGGATCATCATATACACGCAAAGCGAAGAGAGAGTCGAGTCACAAACTTAGTTGATGTGAAGGCATGTAACTGTAAAAGACTTTATTTTAGTTGTCGATTATTTATTAACTCTTGAGACTACAAAATCAAAACTTCGCCAACATCAAGTGAGCGAAATAATACGTCCATAGTTTATAGGATAATTAACTTTCTGAAAAATCTGAACATACATCGTAATCGCCGAGAGACACTCCGTGTTGTGGTAATGTTCCTGATTTTGAAAATCGTTCGAGAAAATATATGAATGATGTAAGAAAGTGAAAAAGTTTAAGAAGTTTGCCGAAAGTTGCCGAAGTTTTGGATTTTGTGAAGAAATGAGAACGAAAGCAAGCGGTTAGTCCACAAATATTAGGGAATTATTGGGAAACAATTGATTTAGATTCGTTTTAGGAGCCAACAACTGAAGGTGAATTTTTCCATTTGGTGAAAAAACTGATTTTGAAAATCGTGCGAGAAAATATATGAATGTATCTGGCACAATATTTTTATTACGATAACTGTTCAACGAAATATTTCAATATATTTCCATACGTTTTATGGGCAATTATTTTGTTAACAAAAAGTATGATGAAAAGTCCTTGGTCAGCTAAAAGTGACTTTGTTATTAGTACAATGACAAGAAACGATAAAGGTGCTGAATTATTATATGGTCCATTATTTTTTAATTTGTCGACAATTCTATGTGGAACAATATTTTATAAAACAACGACTGGTGCAGTGACAATGGCAATATTAACTTGGGGAGATGGGTTAGCAGCTGTTGTGGGTCAGAATTATAAAACGAGACAAATTTATCATACAAAAACTCTCGCTGGCTCGTGTACAGTGTTCATAGCCGGTCTAATTTCATCTCTGATTTATATTTCTATTCTTGTTGGTTATCAATCGATTTCGATTATGCATTTGGTTCTAACAGCGTTGTTAGCAACCATCACCGAAACACTAAGCCCATCTGAATTAGATAATTTATTTTTACCTTTTGTTATAATTGTTGCACACTTTGTTTTAGCATAACTCGTTTTAGTTATACTCTGTGAAATATTTTTGTTCCTCTTGTTATGAAATATAATTATTCCACTTAGAGATAGCGAATCTCTAACAATCAAACGGTTGTTTTCTTTTCTTTTACGGTGACCACAGGTATATGGATCCTCGATCCGCTATTGTGGCTTGTATTTCATGTATTTTCTACTTTTATATCAATAAACGAGATTGAATCAAATATTTTAACTTATGGTCGGTCATTCTTTATCAACTATTTGTTTTATAGATGGACGAATACATGTTTTCTTAAACACGAGAACGAGAATCAAAATAAATATACTCGATCACATCATACCCGATAAACGATTTCATCGCCGAGCAACATCCTGATTATGGCAATTTCTTCATAACCACAAAAAGATAACTCAACCTCATTATTGAAAATAAGAATAAATTTTCTTTTCGATATTCAAACTTACATTTATGAGCCTGTTAAAAGATCTAAATCCTCTGACTACTTCCGTCGAGTGGCATCAACTCTCCTACTTGTCTGAAGAAGTTTCACATCTCAGAAGAATAACAAAAAGTTTTGAATCACAGTAGCATAAGAAAAGTGTTCTCTTCGAAATGAGAGAGAGATCTTCCAGTTCTGCGAAACATTTTTGTTTTCCAGTTGAAAAGTTATTATTTTTCCAAAAATCTCAAATATGACATCTCTCGTGTATTGCTATTCTCTCATAATCACTTCGCAACAAAGCCCTGAAGGTATATTTCTCATGCTCTCCTTTTAATTTGCTGGTTTTCACGGTCTAGGACCTTGTAAATTGTATGAAGTTTGTTCAAAAAATGATTGTGGAGAGTTGGAAGACGTCTCCGTTTGTTCAAAAATGTCTGCTCTATGCGACCGGGTTATTTGCAGAAAATTGACTGACAGGATCCCGGTAAGTGGTTTTATAGGATCGTGATTTTCAAGAAAACCTGTTTATAGTAACTGTGAAGGAATACACAACCCATGGTAGAAAACTCTTTTCTATTTCAGATCTTTTCAGGTTTGCTCCAATTATTATCCTTGAGAAAAATAAAAAATAAAAGTGTACGATCAGCGTATGTTTGATAATCTTTGTAATTAGATATGCACCAGTTATGGATCAGTTATTTGTGGCTGTTTTCTTTTTGAGCACTCATGAAAATTGTCATAACACGATTAGTAAGAACTTCGACTTGTCAAACGTCTCATGTTGTAGGGATCATCTGGTCAGAAGAGTGAGAGTTTGAGATAGTCTTTGGCGAACCACTTCCAGATTTGAAAATATATCCTATCTCAGCTGTTTAACATGATCGTATAGTAAAAGTGAAGGCTCCCATTGCCTAACTATCCAAAGTTACTTGTCCTATTTTGAAATGTATAGTAGTTTGCATGACCTCACAGAATATGTGTTTCGTCACAGATGTACCGACATGTATACCAAGTTGAACCAATAGTATAATGCTTATTTTATTGTTATTACACACATTGTCACGTGATCTTATTTGTTATTATATCTTTTATCCATTTCAACTCAAAAACACTTTTACAAAACAAGGCTCTAGATTTTGTATCTATCTTTTTAATGGTAAAAATTCGAGCAAATTGAGAAAAACGATTGATTCATATCTGATGTTTACTGAACCAGTTGACTATGTAATAACAGAAAAATAAAATGTTCGGATTAGAGTATTTTGGTGCAAAAAGCCGCCTGCCCCATTTCGAAATAGAGTAGACGCGATTATTTTTGTGCGAACGGTTGCATAATTCTCTAGATCACGTCGTGAACATTTTGCAAAAAAAATGACTGAGCTACAAAATAAAAAGCCAAAATTCTTGCAAAACCTCGTAATGTCGGATGACATAAAAAATAAACATAAAACATTGGATTAGAGATTTCAAACTAAAAACGATTTTCTCGATCTTCTCTATTTTATTTTCATTATCTTTTTATAACAAACATCCAAACAACAAGAAAGTTTAACTGACAGTGTATTAATGTTATTTTTTGATAATAATATAAATGAAATTCATTCAGATAATTTTTTTAAATAAAACATTAACTCCGATTCCATTAGCAAGACCAGTCTGTATTAATGTTTTTATCGACAAAGTTGAAGTCACAGCATGCATTGATACGCGTTCAACTGTATCTCTGATTGATTTACTGACATTGAAAACAATCATGCATGATACTTCGTTAGAGCTTTTACCAAACTTTGTTGGTGTTTGTAGTCCTATAGGAAGTATTACGTTAAATGTACGATTTTTAGGCAAAAGTAGTCACCGAAAAATACTACTATCCGTTAAATTTATTGTAACATCCGACACCTATACAAAATTAATTACTAGAAATGATTGTTTAGTATCGCAACGAGCAACCATTAATTTAAGTGAAGGATTTTTAAGGGTTTTTTCGACTTTTTCAGTTTTTTTTCGATCACCATGCACCTACTTTTAACAGCACTCGTTGTCAACACACGTAGAAAAAAACTGAAAAATGGAATTTGAAGTGATTCTAAACATAATGGTAACAGCTGCTTTCAATTTCTCTTGGTGGGTTAACCCCTACACACTCCCAATACGTAAACAAATTTCTCATTGTTACCTTGCGCCTACTAATCAATATAATATAAATTTTCAGATGTTCTCTGCTTAAAGAGTCCAGATAGAAACTGCAGATACTTATCCTACTGAAGTGTTTCTTCTCATGCGTAAATCAGATCAAGATTTGTCCCTATGGACATGAAGTTCTTAGTCCTGCCAAGGCGTTGAGGTATGTGCATATTTCGATGGCATATCTAAAGAATTCCTACCTAATCGATACATCTCTTAGAAACTCCAGCTGGTTTTCTTGGATTCTCTTGGATTGATTGCACTCGAATTCCTCTTTAGAAGCATAGTGCAATCAATTTTTCATCACGCCACAATGTCTTAAAAGGAAATGTTAGTGTGGATAAGGAGTCACATTGCAATTCATAGGAAGTACGCAGCAATCTCAGTTTGCTGTTCTCGTATCTAGTTTCCCTGGCCGCAGTGTGGAATTGTCTGATTTTTCAACAAACTGTGAAGAAGCATCAACTACATTCTCCTCCGCTGTATTGTGTGATCTGACTGCTTTACTATTCTCCGTGCATCTAGCAGAATCGAGCTGATCTATGAAAGCCACTAACGGCACTCCTCTTACATTGATGCTCACAATTGTGAATGCATCGACCTTTGGATATATTTTTTCACTTTTGTACATTTTTATTTTGATACCTTCCACAATCATTATATTTAATCGAGCCTATACAAAAAAAGATATCTTGGATTATTATCTGGGAAGATAATCAGTCTTGAGCCCATGAACTGGTTTAAGAAGGGCGGATCAACCATTTGACTTTATTTATTTGATTTATTTCTCTGAGCTCCCTCTCTCTCGAAAACTGCTATGTACCTATGTTATAATATTTCAATAACTTTCCCTAGTTGGGAAAGGCAAAATAACGAGTGAGACCATATGCACACGTCTGCTACTCCAGGTTCTTTATCATTGTTTTGTAAAAACGTCAGAGGACACCAGATGACTATCGCCAGAGGAATGTAAAAACCACTAACGGTTTTTATAGCTTAAAAAAGATTGATACATTTGATGACCAATCAAAACCAAATACACAGTATGAATGGATGAATAGGGAAAGCAAGAAATATCGCATACTATATATACGTTTGTTTTCTGCTATCCGTACGAGGCCGCTTTTCGTGTCTTTCCATGTTTAGAATAGCTTCTGAAGGCTATTTTTACAGCTAACAATACAAAAAACAACATACATTACGATCAAACAAAAAATCTGGCACTATCATCTTTCATTAAATTTTATTAGGGCGAAAAGTTAAGCACGAACTTATATCTGAAGCATATTCTAACCAAATATCATACAACACTATTTGTTAAATATGACTGAAAAGCTAGTGCAATCTACGGATACTATTATTAGATGTGTACGCAAGATCACTTTTTCTGTAGTTAGTACACTGTAAATTAAAACGACAATAGTAGTTTAAAAGAAAAAAGCATTGCCGCATGCTTTGAATTTTCTATCTTTTGATCACCCATTGAAACAACGGCAAAAATCACCTACTACACCACTTAATTGACAAATAGTGAACCCTTTTGTGTCATACAACCGTCGTGTTGCATGTAATTGGTTGAGAATTTTCTGGAAAATTCGCTGAACGACGATAAATGTCTTAGATAGAAGTGCCGTTCAACGTCTGTAAAAGTGTTGAATGATGATGATGTGAGTGCCGTTACAACCTTGCTTTTCCTGTGAGAGAGTCACTAAAATATGTATTAATAAAATCTATAACTTAAGAAATCAAAAACCAAAAGTTTTTCACTTAAAGATTCCAACTCTTTCTGATTCAAGTCGAAGAATCTTCTTGTTGTGCGGAGCAGACCCAACAAGTCGAACTGGATGAAAGTCGTTTTATGTTGGATGCAAAATAGCATAACATTGATAATGTTTCTCTTTTTGCGTTAAAAATGTTGTATTTATGAACATTATAAAGAGAAGATACATTAGTGTAGTAAAGCCACACCTCAGTCGATATTCCTTGATGCAAAGAAAGAGTGATAAGGTAAGTTCTGTAAAATATATAATCATTCGGCGATTCTCTATTCCATTTGTTTAGAAGCTTTGTATAGTCTCTTATTTTATTCTAATGAATGGTGATGACTGGTACATATCTAATACTATAAGTTGATAATTTATTCATTTTAGAATAAAATATGGCTTTATGGCGTCATTCTTTGCCATTATCATTGACAAAAGTTATCCTTGCTTCACCCTCTTCGACATCATTGATTACACGAAATTCAAAGCGAGAGGCCACCACAGCTCCGTCAACTGCCACCGTTGAACCAACAACTGAACCTCAAATACAAGCTGAACAAGAACAAAATGTCATTACTAACACATCTCCTTATACACTTGTACCAGGAAAAAATTATGGTGCAAATAAACTAGAAGTAGCATTAGCGCGTCTTGATGACGTGGCAAATTTAATTCGTCGTGGTAGTATTTGGCCATTAACCTTTGGTTTAGCTTGTTGTGCAGGTAATAATTGTTGGTAGGACGCCTCACTCAATTGAAAAGACTTTTTATTTATTTTAGTGGAAATGATGCATATGGCTGCACCTCGATATGATATGGATCGTTTTGGTGTGGTTTTTCGTGCATCTCCTAGACAATGTGATTTAATGATTGTTGCTGGAACATTGACAAATAAAATGGCACCAGCTCTAAGACGTTTATACGATCAAATGTTTCATCCAAAATGGGTTATATCAATGGGCAGTTGTGCAAACGGTAAATATCTTGCTCTATCTTTGAGCTAATTGAACACATGATATGTATTTTAGGTGGAGGTTATTATCATTATTCATACGCTGTTGTTCGAGGATGCGATCGTATTATACCCGTGGACATTTATGTACCAGGTTGTCCACCTAGTGCCGAAGCCTTATTGTACGGTGTTCTTCAGTTACAACGAAAAATCAAACGAGGACACACGATGCAGAGCTGGTATCGAAAATGAGAATACCAACAACCTCACAGCTTTTATTTCTAATTTTGCAAAATTTATATTTTTAAACAGATCTTTTGACGTTTCAGTGATAGTACGAACCATAATGCTAATTTTTTTAGTCTTGTCCCTTGTTCCAAAAATTCATAAATGTACATAAAATATACGGTTTTTTTATAAAATAAAACAAAAGACCGATGTTTCTTTTTAGCATAATAAAGGTTTAAGTCATAAAACGGATTGTTTAGAAAGTACAAGGTCTGAGAAAGAAAGAACATATCCGCACATGAAAAATATTAGGACAAGTGATTCTTCGCTGTTATGTAATAAGTTTTCACTTTTCGTAATGTCTTCTAAATAAGATTAGTATTTACTAATCAGCATATATTGAGACACCATATGATGATCACAAGAATGAAGTAATTACCCATTATGCGTGATATTGCGCAATACCTTGTCATATAATTGCTATAAAATATTATTCTATAGGTTCCTTCATCTAGATGAAATTGCGGAGCGATTTAAAAGACAATCTTCAATTTTCTTTTTAGATTTTCTTATTCTGTATATAACTTTCTTCACTATGCCTATCACTGCCACACCAGAAGTATTGAAAAATTTACAGCAAAATACAGAATCAATAAGAAATATTTGTATTATTGCACATGTTGATCATGGTAGTTGTAGATACGTCTCTAAGGATTCGTTATTTATTTCTCTTCTTCTATATAGGTAAAACAACATTGGCAGATGATCTATTAGCCTATAATAGTATTATATCCACACGTATGGCTGGAAAAGTATGATGACAAGAAAATGATAGTTCATAAAATTAATGATTCCATTTTCTCTTCTAGCTTCATTATATGGATAGTAGAGAAGATGAACAAATACGTGGTATTACAATGAAATCGAGTGCTGTATCGTTGCTTCATATTAAGAGTAAATAAGTTTGAAATCGTATTTGTTTGTTTTGAGAATGCTTTATTGAAAATATATTTTAGACAATGAAAAATATTTAATTAATCTCATCGATAGTCCTGGTCATGTTGATTTTTCAAGTGAAGTATCCACAGCAGTTCGTTTATGTGATGGAGCAATCATAATGGTAGATGTAGTTGAAGGTGTCTGCCCACAAGTACGTATTAATTAATGATAAAATAAAAATGTATAAACTTAATATTTTTGACTCTAAGACTCTGGCAGCACTAAGACAAGCATGGTTAGAAAAATTACGTTTAATCCTTGTACTTAATAAAATTGATCGTTTAATATTAGAATTAAAAATGTCACCATTTGAAGCTTATTTACATATACGAGGTATACTTGAACATTTAAATGCTCTAGTAGCAGAACAATTCACATCGTTATTACTCGAAAAAAGTGTGAGTATTTTATAACTAATAATTATTGTTCTTTCTATATTCTGTCTTTATTTTATAGCTTGAAAATAATGTAAACATTGAAACTGGTGATGGTGATAATGAAGAAGTAGGGTGTAATGAATTTGAGCTATAAATATGTTTTTATTGTACATTTTTTTATTTTATTTAGGTAGTCTGTGATCATTGGTCAGAGGATGAAGCTTGTACTTGTTTTTCACCAGAATTTAACAATGTTTTATTTGCAAGTGCTCTAGATGGCTGGGCATTTGGGTATGTTACATTAGTTGAAAGCTATAATTTTCTATCATTCTAAAGAGTATATTTTTAAATTTAGAATACATCATTTTGCCGATATGTACGCAAAAAAGTTATCTGTTAAACGTGAAGTATTTATGAAAACATTATGGGGTGATTACTACTTTAATAAGAAAACAAAACGAGTCTATAAAGGTGCACAAGTAAGATTATTTTGCGTATTTTGTACGTATCATATATCGATACACACTGATAATGACAATTTTGTATTCTATTATTTTTTTAGAGTAAAGGACAAAAACCATTGTTTGTTCAATTTATATTGGAAAATGTGTGGAGTGTTTATGAATCAATAATACAACGAAGGTTTGAAATAAATAATAAATAAAAATACAAAAAATAATTTCATTTTTGTTTTTTAAATATTTTTTTTAAGAGATAATGATAAAGTTGAAAAAATTGCGCTATCGGTAAATGCAAATTTGTCTTCAAAAGATATACGACATACTGATCCCCATGTACCGCTTCGTCTATTATTTAATCAATGGTTACCAATTGCACCTGCCGTTCTTGGTATATATAAATACATTTCATTCTATAATATCCATTGTAATCATATTTTTGAATTTAGACATGGTTGTCGATCAATTACCAAATCCAAAAAATTTGAGTATAGAAAAAATTGAACAATTGATGTGTGATAAATCACGTCGATTTGATACATTACCCAGGGAAACACAACAATTGAAAAATGGTAGAATTTCATACAATTTAATATTTGTTTGTTTTTATATTCTTATTTTTTTCTATTTTAGCGTTCATATCATGTTCCAGTGATTCATCTGAACCGGTGATTGTTTATATTGCAAAATTATTTTCTATTGATGTATCAGCATTATCGAAAAATAAACCAAAGTAAATATATTTGAAGAATGTAGTTTTGGAGTAATTTAAATATAAATAAATGTACGTGTTTAAGAACATTGACTAACGAAGAAATAGCACAACGTCGTGAACTATTAAAACAAAAACAACTCGATAAATTAATAAATAAAACCAACGAATCTCTTCCACCACAAAATGAATCTGATGAAAGTAAGAAGAAAATTCGTTAATTTTTTTCTTCAAAAATGTTTACAGTTTTTATCATTTCTAGATTTGTCTCAACCTATCAATAATGATGTTGTAAACATATCAAATGTAAATGGCACGGAAACTGAGCATCCAGAAAATCAAAATATTTTTTTAGCATTTGCACGAGTTTATAGCGGTGTATTAAAACGTGGTCAAAAAATCTATGTACTTAGTCCAAGACACGATCCTTCACTATTTGTTGGAAAAGTACGCATCTGTTTTATCTTACTCAATTACCTTGTATAATATAATTTTTGTGTTATATCCTTTAGGATTTATCTACAGTGTCTGCTAGAAGTATTTCAAATCATGTACATGAATTTATCGTAGACGATTTATATTTAATGATGGGACGTGAATTTGAACTTCTTGAACAAGTTCCAGCTGGCAGCATTATAGGTAAACATTTAAATAAGTGAATTTTTTTTAATTTAAAACTTTACAAAGACGGTTCATTTAACAAAAATTTTATAATTTAATTTTTGTTTATAGCCATAGCTCAATTAGATAATCTTATATTAAAGTCAGCCACATTATCTACAACTATATTTTGTTCAGCATTTACCGGTTTGCATTTTGATGCTGCTCCAATTGTTCGCGTTGCTATTGAATCAAAAAATCCAGGTATAATATTTTATTATGAATTCATTGATTTATTGTCTTGATAAATTCTTTTAATTCTAAAGGTCAAATGAAACAGTTACGTCATGGTATGCGGCTATTAAATCAAGCTGATCCATTAGTTGAGATAATGTTGAAAAAGACCGGTGAATATATTTTATGCACAGCTGGAGAAGTTCATCTACAACGTTGTATTGAAGATTTAACTAAAACGTACGTTTGAATATTTTCTGAAATATTTTTGTCTCATTTTAATGAAAGATTCTATTTTAAAGATTTGCCAAGATTGAGATAAACGTTTCTCCACCAATTGTACCATTTCGTGAAACAATCATTACAAAACCTAAATTTGATGTTCTCAATGAAGCAGTAGTAACACAACAAGTGAAATCAACAAAATTGAAAGAAAAACCATCGTGGTTAATAGGTAGACTATTCTATTATAAAAATATGGATTATCTATCATCATTCGAAATAAATTTTGTTTTTAGTAGATAACGTATACCTGATGATAATATCACTTGTTTAATTATTTTTTTAGAGGATGGTTTAGCTGAAGTTCGCACACAAAATCAACAGTGTACATTTTTAATTCGAGCAGTTCCATTACCTGAAACCATTACTCGTTTATTAGACGAAAATTCATCATTATTATTATCAATTGAACAAGCACAAACTAAAGATGAAAAACATCGAGTAGAATTAAATGATCAAACAATTGAATCTATACGTCAACTGAAGGAAAAATTAAATAATGAATTTATTTCTTCCGGTTGGGATAAAAATACCGTTGATCAAATATGGTCATTCGGTCCTCAAAAAAGTGGACCGAATATTTTATTGAATCGTTTACAAACCTATAAATATCGAAAATCAATATGGTCACCTCTATTGGACGTCGATGAGACGAAAACGATGAATAACAATGGAAAAGATGAAAACTTATATAAACATGAATATGATTTGAGCATCATGAATGGATTTCAATTAGCTACAGCAAAAGGATCATTATGTGAAGAACCATTGATGGGTGTTGCGTTTATTATCGAACGTTGGACATTCGATAAGTTAGTTGAAGATCATCCGCAAACTGATGATCAAACCCAAGAAGATGTACAAAAAGAGCAAGGAATAGAAAAAAATGAGGTGAGAATGAATATTGCCGTTAACCTGTTATTTATTCTTATTTTATGAATATTTATTTTTTATAGTCGGACGAAATATCGTCCACTCGAGGTACCGAAAACAGTGATGATGCCGAAACTTTGAGTATAATTAGTGAAGAATCGACGATTATGATCGAAAAACGTTATCGTTTAGTCGATAAAACCAAAATAATACTTAATCGTGGTCCATTGTCTGGTCAAATTCTTTCAACAATTAAAGAAGGATGTAAAAAAGCGTTTGATTCGCAATATCGTCGTCTGGTGGCGGCCATGTACAAATGTGAAATTATGTGCAGCAGTGAAGCGCTAGGTAAAAGAATTTTTGTCATATTTATTTTGTTTTATTATCTTGTCATTTCTAGGTCGTGCATATGGTGTGTTAAATAAACGTAATGGTCGTGTTTTGAATGAAAGTATGAAAGATGGTACAAGTACATTTATAATCATTGCCGTATTACCCGTTGCCGAAAGTTTTGGATTTTGTGAAGAAATGAGAACGAAAGCGAGCGGTTTGGCTAGTCCACAAATATTAGGGAATTATTGGGAAACAATTGATTTAGATCCGTTTTGGGAGCCAACAACTGAAGAAGAATTTTTACATTTTGGTGAAAAAGCTGATTTTGAAAATCGTGCGAGAAAATATATGAATGATGTTAGAAAGCGAAAAGGTTTAAGAACAGAAGGAAAAATTATTCAACATGCAGAGAAACAGAGAACGTTTAAACGGAATAAATAATTGTTTTAACTCTTACTATTTTGTTAATTCATTTTCTTTAATAAAGTTATTTTTTAAAGCAAACTTTTTAGTTTTTCACTAATAGCCAAAATCCCGTTTATGTTAGCGCAAAAAGTTTCAAGTCTCTCTAGATAAGAGATGAAGCCAATATTTTTATATCATTCTACTCCCCATAATAGCACGAAAAAAGTTAAGTATCGGTTTTGGAAAATATCGTTTCGATGTTGAGAAAATTAATTTTTTTGAAACAGGTAGCAAAAAACAAGGAATTTCGCTTGTATTTTGCAGTTTTCATTGTTAAACTCCTATTTTTCTGCATAACCAATGTCATATTTGGAATCAGCATAAAAAAACTGAATTGATTGATATGTGTTTCAGGATTTTTGGACAACTTTCATTTTTCCGCAAAAATTTCGATCGAAAAGTTCGAAATTTATTATGGGCATATGTCCAGCAGTTTACTAACGATAATAATACTTTCGTTGGGTGTGGTGACCAAACCAAACCCAAAATGTTTGGGATTACAAATCCCAAATCTTCACCAAACCCAAACTATTTGGATACAAAGCCCAAATATGGCTTTGGATTTGGTGCATCCCTGTTGATAATAGAACAGAATGTTTAGATAGCTTCATTAGATATGTAGAAAAGATGATGACAAATATTATTTTTACTGATATAATTGTTTTTTTATCTCTTTCGTTAGAAATAGTCGTAATTTCAGATATCGACTTTATTATGTATTTGAGTCGTTGTGATTTGATTCATCATTTATCTAATGTTACTATAGGTGCTATCGTTACCGGCATTTCATTTATTGTTGTTCTGCTCCTAAAACAATTACATGATAAAAATGCTGTGACAAAAGAAGTTAGTCGAAAAGTTGTTCACTTGGGTGCAGGAACTCTATATCTGGCACAATATTTTTATTACGATAACTGTTCAACGAAATATTTCAATATATTTCCATACGTTTTATGGGCAATTATTTTGTTAACAAAAAGTATGATGAAAAGTCCTTGGTCAGCTAAAAGTGACTTTGTTATTAGTACAATGACAAGAAACGATAAAGGTGCTGAATTATTATATGGTCCATTATTTTTTAATTTGTCGACAATTCTATGTGGAACAATATTTTATAAAACAACGACTGGTGCAGTGACAATGGCAATATTAACTTGGGGAGATGGGTTAGCAGCTGTTGTGGGTCAGAATTATAAAACGAGACAAATTTATCATACAAAAACTCTCGCTGGCTCGTGTACAGTGTTCATAGCCGGTCTAATTTCATCTCTGATTTATATTTCTATTCTTGTTGGTTATCAATCGATTTCGATTATGCATTTGGTTCTAACAGCGTTGTTAGCAACCATCACCGAAACACTAAGCCCATCTGAATTAGATAATTTATTTTTACCTTTTGTTATAATTGTTGCACACTTTGTTTTAGCATAACTCGTTTTAGTTATACTCTGTGAAATATTTTTGTTCCTCTTGTTATGAAATATAATTATTCCACTTAGAGATAGCGAATCTCTAACAATCAAACGGTTGTTTTCTTTTCTTTTACGGTGACCACAGGTATATGGATCCTCGATCCGCTATTGTGGCTTGTATTTCATGTATTTTCTACTTTTATATCAATAAACGAGATTGAATCAAATATTTTAACTTATGGTCGGTCATTCTTTATCAACTATTTGTTTTATAGATGGACGAATACATGTTTTCTTAAACACGAGAACGAGAATCAAAATAAATATACTCGATCACATCATACCCGATAAACGATTTCATCGCCGAGCAACATCCTGATTATGGCAATTTCTTCATAACCACAAAAAGATAACTCAACCTCATTATTGAAAATAAGAATAAATTTTCTTTTCGATATTCAAACTTACATTTATGAGCCTGTTAAAAGATCTAAATCCTCTGACTACTTCCGTCGAGTGGCATCAACTCTCCTACTTGTCTGAAGAAGTTTCACATCTCAGAAGAATAACAAAAAGTTTTGAATCACAGTAGCATAAGAAAAGTGTTCTCTTCGAAATGAGAGAGAGATCTTCCAGTTCTGCGAAACATTTTTGTTTTCCAGTTGAAAAGTTATTATTTTTCCAAAAATCTCAAATATGACATCTCTCGTGTATTGCTATTCTCTCATAATCACTTCGCAACAAAGCCCTGAAGGTATATTTCTCATGCTCTCCTTTTAATTTGCTGGTTTTCACGGTCTAGGACCTTGTAAATTGTATGAAGTTTGTTCAAAAAATGATTGTGGAGAGTTGGAAGACGTCTCCGTTTGTTCAAAAATGTCTGCTCTATGCGACCGGGTTATTTGCAGAAAATTGACTGACAGGATCCCGGTAAGTGGTTTTATAGGATCGTGATTTTCAAGAAAACCTGTTTATAGTAACTGTGAAGGAATACACAACCCATGGTAGAAAACTCTTTTCTATTTCAGATCTTTTCAGGTTTGCTCCAATTATTATCCTTGAGAAAAATAAAAAATAAAAGTGTACGATCAGCGTATGTTTGATAATCTTTGTAATTAGATATGCACCAGTTATGGATCAGTTATTTGTGGCTGTTTTCTTTTTGAGCACTCATGAAAATTGTCATAACACGATTAGTAAGAACTTCGACTTGTCAAACGTCTCATGTTGTAGGGATCATCTGGTCAGAAGAGTGAGAGTTTGAGATAGTCTTTGGCGAACCACTTCCAGATTTGAAAATATATCCTATCTCAGCTGTTTAACATGATCGTATAGTAAAAGTGAAGGCTCCCATTGCCTAACTATCCAAAGTTACTTGTCCTATTTTGAAATGTATAGTAGTTTGCATGACCTCACAGAATATGTGTTTCGTCACAGATGTACCGACATGTATACCAAGTTGAACCAATAGTATAATGCTTATTTTATTGTTATTACACACATTGTCACGTGATCTTATTTGTTATTATATCTTTTATCCATTTCAACTCAAAAACACTTTTACAAAACAAGGCTCTAGATTTTGTATCTATCTTTTTTTTGGCCTTTAATGAACAAAATCTTACGAATTTTAACGGCTGCGACACGACTTCCCTTCTTGAAAGAATGGTAAAAATTCGAGCAAATTGAGAAAAACGATTGATTCATGTCTGATGTTTACTGAACCAGTTGACTATGTAATAACAGAAAAATAAAATGTTCGGATTAGAGTATTTTGGTGCAAAAAGCCGCCTGTTCCATTTTGAAATAGAGTAGATGCGATTATTTTTGGAATAAGTTGAGAACAAAAATGATAGAAACTTTTTTGACTATGTACAGATGCAAAAATAGAGTTATTGTTTGTTCATTACTATGTACATGCATAATACCATGATGATCATACTGCAAAAAAAAGAAAAAAAAATTCAAAATGTCTGGTATAAAATGTCCGTGCCATTCATCTAGTGACTGAGTAGAAAGGAAAAATTTCTCCAAACTGTCGTTTTTTTGAAGGCGTATAATGCGAAATCAACGATGTTTGAAGTGTGTGAAATTTTGTTTTCACTTACAAACAAGAAAAAAGTATGCAGATTATAACTTTGAAAGTGACAGTAGTAGTCGCATTTTTAGGTCAGAATCTTGATATTTAGCTAACCTTTCACGAGAGAGATACTCAAATTTCTTCTCTTTTACTTAGAAGTCATTATTTCAGTCGAGATGTATAAAAGATAAACTTGTTTGGATGATATAGTGTATATATAATCTTCATCGAACATGAGAAACTTATTCTAATTTTTTTTTCATATGTGTATGTATGTACATACATCAATTATCTTTTTGCTTGTTTTTTTGTACGATGAAAAAGAGAATATATTCAATATTAGTTTCATAATTCCTTCAGTTTTTTTCACACATTTGTATTATACAAAAAACTTGTGAATGTTATTCATCTCTATTCAAATTATTACGAAACAATCATCACAGTTAACGAAAATAGAAAATTTGTGTATTGTACTGGAGGGAAGAGAAAAAATGAATTTTATTTAGTTTGTCATCATCATTCAAATTTTCTATACTTCCCACATATTTGCTATAATTTATTATACCATTGTTTCATTTCTTCTTTTTTTTTCTCACTTTTTTCGTGTATTATAAGAGAAATCACGAATTTTGATTATAATTATTCTGATGTCAAGTTTATAATTATCTTTTATATAATGTTTACAAGATTCATATGTTGTTTACAATAATTGACTTTTTTATTGTTTAATCGTTATAATACCATCATTTTCAAGCAATACTTTTAGAAGACGTCACTATTTTTCTATAGTGAGTTTTGTTGCCATTATTATTAAACACAAAACAACAAGAAAGAAATATATAAGCTGTTTTTCCAATTCAACTATTGATTTTTAAAAGGTACGTCTTACCTATAAGAAATCTAAACTTTCACTTTTTTCGAACAAGAATTTGGCGAACACTCTTATTAACAATCAGAATTGTGATTTATTTTTTTTTGTTGATCAAGCAAGCACTTTTTTTTGCTTGTTTTTTTCTGATCGTTCCGCTTGAAATACATGTCAAAAGGCAATAGGGAGAAAATTCAACAATTTCCTGTTCCAGTTTGTAGATTTATTTGAAACAAAGCTGCTTTTTACAGCAACCAAATCAATGTGAGAAAAATGAGACTTACCGACTTGTCCAGCTAACGCTCTCCTTTTTTCGCTCTTTTTCAAAGAACTATGGCAATAAAGTTAGAAAATAATCTAAAATTACAACTAGATAATTGAATAGATTAAACATTTCTCTATAAAATAAAATGAAAAGTGTCTCGGCTCTGAACGTTGATTCGTTATGAAAATACAACTGTTGTACAAACAGCCCCAAAAATCGATGTTGAGGCTATCTAAAAAGCGTGTCTAAAAGAGCGAAGACGAGCTGGCAAAAACTGAACAAGTATACCAGTTTATAGAAAATTGTTTGCTCTACAAGATGTAATAGCTTGTCAAGTTCGAAACTATTCTAATTAATCTGTATTAATCAAAGAAAAAACAGAAAAACCGTGACGCCGTGACAAAAAACGGTCAAAAGTGTCATTACCATAGTTCTTTGAAAAAGAGCGAAAAAAGGAGAGCGTTAGCTGGACAAGCCGTTACTAACAATTCTATTTTTGACTCTTACGCTAACTATAACTCGTGAAACGATTCAAAGTTTTTGGTTGAAATCTTATCATAACCTATTCATATTATAATCTTCAATCTGTAAAAGTTCTTCTAAAAAAAATTGGACAAAATTTAGGACAAAACTTTTACACGAACGTCTGTCTCAACGATACCGACTCATAGATATAGAATTTTACTAATTATTCATATTTCTGCGTGAGATAGTGAATCAGTAGAGAAAAAAAGAACGATTTTTTTCTCTTCACAAACAGCTAGCAAGTTCTAATGTAAAAAGAAAGATTAATAAGAAATAGAATTTGAGAATCACATACATACAGGTGCGAATGTAAATGAATGAGACATTGTAAATATGTTTAAAATTAACATTTAAGTTATGAAAAGTAAAGGTTTATGAACAGTAAAACTCTTTCTTTTAGTAACCCGAGTATACGGATAAAATATCCGTATACTCTGGTCAAAGGTGTCTATTGAATAGAATGGATATGGGTTGTTGACGTCGAAATAAATTCTTTCAGAAGCAAATTCTATTTAGCTTAAACAACGATATTTTTGTTTATTGTAGCCATAACAAGTTCATTTTTCAAGAAAATTAAACATGATCGAAAACCAAGTAGCAAATCTTCTGTCTCCCCCAGGAACTGGGGCTATTCCTGTTGATCAGGGACGAGAAGAAGAGCGAACTGATGCACAAACACCATTTATCAACAACAGACATATTCAAAGACCATCAACAGTGACAAGAGGCTGTTTTGATTTTGATCCTCAGAATGGTCGATTCGCTTTCCAACTGCCATTCAGTAGAAATTCGTCATCTGGTCGTAAAAACATGACTTGTTTAACTCAAGTCAAACAATTTTCATTTTATCAAGCATTATTAAGTGAATTTATTGGAACAATGATTTTGACATTAATGGCGTGTAGTACCGGTTTACCTATCACTCGTCGGCAAGTACCCGATTTACATGGTATTTTAGTCGGAGGATTAACGATATCAACATTAATTGTTTGTTTTGGACATGTATCTGGTTGTAACATAAATCCAGCGGTAACACTAGCACTCTTATTTGCTCGCCATATTGATATTATTCGAGCTATTTGCTATATTGGTGTTCAATTATTAGGTGCATTTTGCGGTAGTTGTCTATTAAAAATACTAGCTCCAACATCTGCAAGAGAAAATCTTGGTGTAACAAATATTAGTGAAGGTGTGACACTTCAACAAGCGTTTGTCGTTGAATTTCTCATTACTTTTATACTCTGCTGTACAGTATTAGCTGCATGTGATAAACACCGTGATGATGTTGGTGGATCGAAAGCATTAACCATTGGCCTAGCAGTAGTAATTGGTTCATTATTTGGTGGACCTTATAGCGGAGGAAGTATGAATCCTGCACGATCCTTTGGTCCAGCAGCAGTTACAGGAATGTGGCAAAATCATTGGCTCTATTGGTTTGGTCCAATGACGGGTGGTGTTGCTGCAGCAATATATTATGAATATATACTTAAACAACGCATAGCTTCACAACCCACTGTCGAGTCATCTACAATGAAAAAGTTAGCAAAAATATAAATATTTTAATTTGACAAAAGAATATAGATTTCAGATTGAGATAGCATATAATGTCTAGTGTTATCAGAAAAAATAGTTTATAATCTAAAAGAAAATTACCATTTTTGAATATAAGTAGACACATATTTTAGAGCAACAATAATAACTATAGATTAAAGCTCAAAGCTCCAAACAAATCGTCTAAGTAATTTTCCATCTGTTCCAGTATATACCCTCTATTTTTAAAGTCTAAAATTTATTTAAACTATGTGACTACTTTTTTCATGCAAATTAGTCACATTAATCTTCTTTTTTTTTCATTTTTAAAATTTTTTATTCTTTTGAAATGTGAGATTATTTTACTTTATCTTTCAATCCAATAAAAATTAGATGTATTTTTAGACTAATAGTAAAAACAATTATCGTATCGTAGTCACGCCACTACCAGATACAACATTATTTACTGATCTTCAATAGACTAACCATCGTGAACGACTGAAAAGTCAGATAAGGAAAAATACAGTAAATTCAAATTCTTGGCTAATGTTTGCTTCAGTAAATGGTATATTTGTGAACGATGATGATAAATAGCAATGCTCCATTTTTGTTGAAAATATCGAAACATATATAGAAATATAGAGAAAAAATTATATGATACGTCCATCCATTACTATCAAATACCATACGAGAGAGAGTCTTTAATTATTCTCAATAACGTTGTACTCGATTATTTAATAGTTTTTCATCTAAATTCTGTAAATGAGATAGATAATATATGCTAATATATTAAAAAAGAAAGATTTTTTTTTTTGAAATCAACTATCGATTGTTGGAAACATTAGAATTCGAATAGTATATTTTGGACCACAATATGTACTCTCGCTCATATATAACCAGTTAAACATACAATTGTTCATACAATGTGATTTTGATCTAAATGAATACGAAACTTTTGATTTAGATTAGTTATAAGATTTATTCTCTATATGAAATGAAACAGACGATATATGTTCTAAACTTGAATGCAAAATAATAAATATGCTCATAATCTTTAATTGTTTTCACAATATTATAAATCGACAGTGATTTTCAGTTTAGTTATTTGTAAATAATGCAGATTACCATTGACATGAAAATTTTTAGATTATAGATACTAAATACCTATCTGCATAAAAAAATACAGTGTACCTGATAAAATAGGATAAAGACATTTTAGACATTTGTAAGATGGTATCAATGAAAGTGTATTAGTAGTTGTGTTCCACCGTTGTAATAACGAATATGTTGGATCAGATTATTCCAGTAATTAATTATCTAACTAATTTGAGCTAAAAACACTCCATGCTAATCCTTTCAACTAAACTTTTGTCTTAGATTGTCTCTGAATTCTTTTGAATTGAAATATGTATGAGATCAGTTATTACAATGGTAAATATGAAGAATAGAACTATGAGAGACTTGTAGAAATCCGTTTATGTCTTGTGAGCCATTCTCTATTACAGATACGCGTACCATTCGTACGATAAATAGTGTCGGTAACCAAACCGCCATCGAATATCAACGGACTATTCTAAATATGAACAATTATGTTTCCTAACATAAGAATTTTGAGAGACTAACTAACAAATGTATCGTAATTCACACGTTTGTTTAGAAATAAAAAATAATTTTAATCACATGAGAATAATTGTATTTCACCATTTGTATAATATATTCTAAATTAACATCCTTTAATTTTTTTCCATTAGCTTGTCGAAATACAATTCGTTTAACAAATTTATGAGGTCCAATGTCATCTTTATTACATCAGACAGCCGTAATATAATCTTCATAGATTTTCATGTTCAGTTAATTCAATTGTTCAAGAATGGTAGTCGATACGTATGGATCATTTAAACATGAAATCTAATAAAAAACCATTAGTTTTTAGTATTAGTAATGCAGATATCAGTAATCGTATATCATCGTGATTTGAAGTAAAATTGGCTGCAGAATAAAATGATATAAATGCAGTTCATCATAAGGTTTATGCAAATTGAAATAAATAAAAATCTTCGAAGTTGTACTGGGATTAGCGTGATAATGAATAAAACACAAATTTCTTTTATTTTATGTTAACGTTTGTCAAAATCTCTTTCATTTATTACTCATAATGAATATACTTGTCTGATTTACTAAATAGACAATATAAGCATCAAGAAATAAACCAAAATTTTTAACTAGATCTCTGGTGACAGTTGCCAAAAGTTGTCGATTCAGCTACCAAATTTCGACTACATCACTTTCACTCTGATTTTCTCAGCTGTTTTAGAGAGATGATTAAAAGGAATAGAACAGAGAATAACATATGAAGAACAGAGAGAAAATTATTTTTCTTCTTGTGAACGAGTTATTTTTGGTTAGACTTTCAAGGTATTTGGGACGTTCAATTATATCACGATGTTTGACAGTTACTTGTTGCGTGCTACATTCACTATCTGTAAGATAGTAATACATTTACTTCTTAAGCACTATCAATAACTCATCTATACTATCAATCACATATAAATAGATAAATTATATAAGAATAATCCGTGAACAAATGGCGCCGGACAACAAGCTGTTAATGAATATATGAAAAATTTCTAAGTCAAAAGCACAAATTTGTTCCACTTTTAGACCTTTTAGTGCCTGATCCAGAGTGGATTTTGGAAAAGAGTGCTCAATGGTCAATTTTTGAGTACCTGGAAAACCATTTCCCATTTCCAGAAGTTCTCTATGATTCTAGTTCTCTCTACAGCATTGTGTGCACATTTTGTAAAAAATGTGACTAAATAAAAAAAAAAAGAAAAGAAAAACCCTGATCAATTGCATAATGTTGCGTCGACATAATTATTGTTGAATCAACTACTATGTCCTTCAAAATATAGTGAAGGATACGTCTTTTCAAATAACGTTTAATCGAAAAGTGACAGAAATCTGCCGTTTTAACTATTCTATAAAAGAGACTACAGAACATCTGTTCATAGGCAAAATAAACTTTGAAATCGTTTTTCGAAAGCAGAATTTAGAAAAGATATGTGAAAATTTGATCAAATTTTCCAGAAGTTAAAATGATAATATAGTATTTTTTTTTGTAACATTAGAGGATAGTTGAAAATGAGAGTCAAGGAACGTTAATTATTAGAGTTTCAAGCGCGAAACTGAATTTTCTTGAAGTTCATTGAATATTTGAGAAAAAAAACCAAATCAAAGTAGCACTAGCTAAACGTAGTATTATCAGCGAATAAAATGCACATCTGTTTCATTGCCATTTTGCTTTGGTAGATGTTTCTTGGTAAACAGAAGAGGACACGGTTGATAATGAATTGTCATGTACAAGCTCATATTCGATAATTATTGTTAATAGTGGTATTTCTATTTTATAAACAATCTGATATTGATAATCCGTTAAAAATAGTTTGAATCAATAATACATCATGTTTCGGTACATGTGATTGACGTCATTTATATAAAAAAACCTTTCAAATAAACATTTTTATGCTAGTAATAGGATAGAAATGAAGAACAATTATTCATTTGAATGATACTCTTTCACGACGATCATAAACCGTTTCTATAATATTAAATTTTACTTCAATTCAAATGAATATGTGAAAAATTCCATGTATCTTGAACATGATACACTTCCCATCCGATTGTTTCTCTCTAATTTCGAGACACATCTTATTCATGATAATTCAAAATTATTTGTGCAATAATTATTATTCTTTTTTTGAATACAAAAAATATTTGTTTTTTTTTTTGCTTTAAAATCATTGCAATAAACGTAACAAACTCAAAAAAAAAAAAATAGTTGGACGGAAAAATCTAACACACGTAGAGAGAGAATGATGTGCGTGCAAGAAACATTGGAGAATAAAATAAGTTAAACTTGAAAAATCTCACGCGAACAGTATAACTCATATGTGTATGGGAGGTAACAGAATATAATCTGACACTTGTGTTTTTTGAAAAATAAAAGCTTTTATGTTTAAAAAAAAAAACAAAAACAGAAAAAAAAATAGTAATTTAGTGCTCGTCAATCCATTTTTTGTTCAAACGAGAGAAAACAGCGTGCACATCAACAAGAAAAATCTCATAGCAAAACAAAAAAAAAGAAAAGAAATGATAACACATAAAAATAAAACAAATTTTGAGTTAAAATTTTGAAAATATAGAACACATTACATCACATTTGAAAGTAACCGATAAAATGAAACTGTTTTTGCCTATATATTATACAGAAAAACGAAATAAACACAAGAAGATACTTATGAATTATTGAAATTTTGAATTCTTGGTATATTTCTAATGTATTCGAAGACAAGATCACATTAGAATAGAGTAGAAAAACATAGCATAGAGTCGATGTTCAAATATAAATGCGTTTCAACATTATTATTTCCTAACACATAAAAATACCAAAAAAAAAAAAGAATTGATTGCAATCATTTCACTGAGCAAACGACATCATTTAGAAAATGGAGAAACGTACGATGCTAAAAGACTAGCATGTGTTAATCTCGTATATAATGATATTTAACCGGAATTAGAATCGTTCAATCGAGGACAGAATTTAAAGTCTGACCGATATGTGGAAGTTTTTGATGTCGATTTAATTCAGCTGTCGACGGAAATGCTTTCGATAATGTATTATTATTATTTGAATGATACAAATGATGATGGCTCGTATATGTGCCACCACCATTTACACCATTAGCGGTATTTCCTCCTATGCCACTATTAGTTCGTCCAGTGGCACTCGTATGACCGTTTAATGTCTGATGTTGTTGTCCTGGTATCATATGATGATGACGTAAGACGGCAGACGGTCTGTTTTGTGGGGCTGGTTCAGCAGGCGGTTTAGGTAAACGCCGTCTTAACCACGAATGTCTTAATGCTTGAGGTGGTGTCATACGAAGGGTTGGATCCCATTCGAAACAACGTTTAAGAAAATCAATAAATAGAGGATCATCGCAATTTTTTAATGCTTGTGACCATTCTTTGGTTGCCGGTGGACCACGCGGCTTACCGCGTTTTGATCTACCTGGAAAGAAATAGATATATATTAACATAAAACAAAAAAATCCAAGATATTCTTCTACTAGTACTTACCGCCTTGTAAAACAGTTGATCCATCAGGCAATGTAGTTAATGTACAGTAACGCGGATGACCTTTGGAGCTAACAAAATTTCTTGCACGTTTTGATGAATCCAATAATTTTTGACTTGGCATTCCAATAATTTCCATGATACAACTCAATTGATCAGACTCATCTTCACCCGGAAATAAGGGCATACCGGTTAATAATTCACTCAATATACATCCCAATGACCACATATCGATTGGCATACCTATTTTAACATTAAAACTTATTGATATTTGTAAATGTTTCAACAACTTGTCTGTTTCAAAATTCGAGGAGAACGTTCATATTAATTTATTAGAAAGAAAAGTCGAACGAGAGAATACTCTTTGATTTTACATACCGTATTTGGCACCCAATATCACTTCTGGAGCACGATAAAATCTTGATTGTATATAAGTATATACACGCTGATGTTCAAAACAACTTGATCCAAAATCAATCACTAAAATAATGGTGGAAAGAGATTAGATGCTCTGCAGGCAAGTGCAATGCAGTTGAATCCCTATGAGTTTCCTGACAGGGAACCAAGACATATCCTATCAATATTCTGCTAGGATTTCGCTTTAATTTCTTAGGATCCTAACAAAATCCTATAGAATCCTAATGAAATCAGCTATACACGAAAGTCATAGAATTTTCTAAGATACTTTTAAAACTTTTTTATTTTTAGGATCCTAAACAAACTTAAGTGAAATCTTAGTAAGATCATTTTAATATCCTCCTAGGAAGTTATTCCTAGTAATGATCCTAGTAAGATCCTAGTAGGAAACAGACAGGAAGTGCGCAGGATTTTGTCCAGGGTCATTGAGAAGAGATTTTTCTTTTTTTCTCTAGTGAAATGGCTAGACCACGATAACAAAGTATAATAAGATGACTGTAAAACATGTGAAATTTTGTATTACTTTAAAATAATTAACAAGCATAATTTGTATGTTTTTACCCTTAATTCCACTTCTTCCTTGTTGTTTTAATAAAATATTTTCTGGTTTTAAATCGCAATGTATAATTTTATTTCTATATAATGCGTCTAAACATTGTAATATTGAATGGGCAAATTTTCTCACCAATTGTAAACTAAAACCTTGAAAACGATTTTTTTTAATTAATTCATATAAATTCATTGATAATAATTCAAATGTGATGCATATATGATTACGAAATTGAAACCATTCGTACAAGTGTATTGCGTTAAAAGTATTATCACGATCTTGTTTTTTTAAATGTTCTAATATTCGAATTTCTTCTTGGGCTTGACGATGAAAACGTTTTTCATTTCGAACAATTTTTAATGCTACTTGACTACCATGTTTATGATCATAACATTTGACAACTAGACCGAATGAACCTTTACCAATAATTTTCAATATTTCATAACCTACATCAGAGGAAAAAGAGTCACATTAAAGAAAATTAATAAAACAATTTGATTGAAATTCTTTCATATTAACAACCAATGTTTAGATACAAGTAAAATCTCACAATGAGATTTCTAATTAAAAAACTTCGATTAGATGACGACATTTTAGCTTTCCAGCTATTCTCATAAGGTAATTTTAAAATCTTAAATTTTTATTTTTAACTTGTAAACTTTTCGTGGTACATAGATGATGTTTATGGGATTGCGATCAAGAAAGATGCATGCATTAGAGAAAACAATTAGCTTTGAGAGACGTTTTTGTTAAAGTAAACTCAAAATTGAAAAGTAAGATAGTAAGAGTTTGAATCGTCTTTTTATGATCTGACAAAACATATAATAGTCATTTTTTTTTCGCATATGACATTGAAACAGCGAGTCACATTAAAAAGCCGTCTGTGTTACTTCCAATAAAAGCTAAAATTTAGAATGCCTATTAATACAGCAGACTTTTTAGGGAAGGTTTACGGATTTTTTGAATAATATTTAGTTTTCCACATTCTGACGTGATAAATTTCGAAAAACTCTACTTGATATGCGGCTATCAATCTTCAATTGTCGATGACTGAGAAAATCGACATCTGCGTTAATAACATCATTTCACATGTCGAATTCAGTTTTGTGTTAACGAGTCTTTTAGATTCTTTTCGAAGCTTAAACCATAGTACGTTACATGTTATTCGTTTTTCTCTCTATTTCTATTAACTAGTAGAAAGAAAAATTAATTAGTAGAAAGAAAAAAATGTAAAAAAAAGCAAAACATGATTTCTCCACTAGAATTATACCACTTATATATATATATTGTACTTGTTATCAATTGAGAATTGTTAAAGTGGTGAGGGAGCTGGAAAATTGAAATGCTATCATCTATTCGAATTTTTTCTTTTTTGGTTACAGACTGTCATATTTTATCAGGATCTTGCTATCTTAAAATTTTCTGCTTATCCCTAGACATTGACTATAAACTCGAGAGACTTTCGATAGAATTATGCAGTATTATACGTGGCAGACAATCAATTCTTTCCTCATGAGTTTATAAAACCAATTTATTCTTACGATATGATATATGATCATGTTGTACGGCTATGTATGATCCATTTTCGTCATCGTAATTACAATTATTCGGTCCACCACCTACTCCTTGACGTTTTCTCGCATTTTGTCCAACAAAATAGATTTGTGGAAAACTAAATATTTCATGACGTTCAAATGTAGTTAATTTCGACATGTACGATTTCATAGCTGTCTCTGGATCAAGTGCATTTGTTTGACGTTTTTGTTGAGATGTTGAACGTAATGATGCTAGACTATCGACACTCGGACTTTTTCTTAACGATTGTTCAGATGATGGTTGTGCAACGATTGTACCACCATTATGATGGTTTGTTATACTAGTATTGGTGTTATTATTACTTAATAACGTCGATGCTCCAGCAATAGTTGTCGTTCCTCCATTGGAAATTGACGTCTGTCCAATGTGAGATGTTGTATCTCCTCCACCAACATGACGTAAATGTGTTGGATAATATTGTTGATGATGATGTACTGGACTACTTTCATAGAGTTGTTGGACTTGAACACCGTTTGGCCGTTGTTGGCGAGCACGTATCGGTGGTAAACTGGTTTGTTGATAATCATACATCGATGTGTCACCTATTAATTGAAAATTAGTGAGAAAAAAATATTATTCTGCAACAGTAGCACAAATAAAAGGTATTTTATGAACTATTATTCCCCCTCCACTTCCAAACAAAGCATTCCATCTATAAATTTCGAAAAGCTAAGCTCAATTATCACTATGTACAGTTCTATGTTCTTAGTGTGATATTTTTAAAATTAAAAAATTTTAATTTTTTTTTTTTTTTGTTTTTGATTATTATCAACTCCCATTATTATAAAACACTAGTAATAATTTATTATTTCCGCATTAGAATTTCTTTAGCAGCAAAATCATCAAAGATAATTGAATAGTTTGTACGCTTAATAAATCAATTATTTTTTTTGTACATAGATATGACAAAAGAAAAAGGCATATAACTAAAAGCTAAAACTATAAGCATCTTCTATACACATACTATTTTGGTTCTTTTTTTTTTAAGATTAAATTTAGCTATTGTCTAATCATAATAATAACAAAATGAACGTTAACAACAACAACATCGATTGACAGATGAGTGACTTATACCAATATTAGAAATTGAGCCATTTGTTCCATCGTGTTGTAAATTAGTTGTTGATAATGGTAATAATTCAATATGGCTTGTCATTTAATAATAACAAAAAGAAAGCAAAAAAATTTAACTAAAATTTAAACAATTCATTGTATAATAACTGTTTTAAGATCCATGATAAATGGAAAAATATTTTTATAAGTAATTTTTCTATAGCTCGTTCTATTCTATGCTCTCACAAAATCTAAAAATTGAACAATGAAAAGATATATGTATAATGGGATAAGAGAAATGAATAATCAATTTCCATGCTTCATAAACGAGATTTTGCTAAAAAATAAAAGAAAATTATCAATAAAAATGAAAAAGAAAAGAAGAAGAAGAAGAAGAAGAAGAAGAAGAAGAATGATTTTTACAGACTGTAAAAGATTTCATTTCTTTTTTTTTATATTTCTTTTTTTTATTATATACAAACCAACTGTGTGTTTGTTTGAGAATTCTAGATGAAAGAAAGATGAGAAAAAAAAAACATGAATACTTTGTTATACATATCATAACTTATTCATATGCACACATTCAATTCATTTACAAATATCGAGTTTTAGTCTGTTATTGTTTTTTTTTTCTTCAAAAAACTTCTAAAAATCATTTTTTCACTTTAGAATTAAATCTTCCGTAATATGTATTCTAGGTCAATAATTTAATGTCCTATTGTTCAAACTTTGTGAATACCTGCGATAGACAGTCGTATTGATTGTCTCATTATTTTAGTTTTTTTAATTAAACTATAGATATTCTAAGGTATAGCTAATCGTCACCGATGAATTGTTTCATAACCTTCTTTTTTTTTTTTTCTTTTTTTTTTAATAAAAATTATAATTCATCGTCGAAAGTTCAGCTAAATAAAAAAAATGTATTCCATCGTATAAATAGTTTTCTGTGTGCTTAAAAAAAAAAAAACTTTGCAAAACAAAGATGAATTTTTTTCATGTTAGAAAAAAAAACACCAGAAGAACATCGTAAATTTTTTTTTTTTTTTCTTCGTTACTTTAGTCTTTATGACACTTCTTTTGAATTGGTAAGAGGCAGATAAAAAGGAAATAATAATAATAAAAAGAACTGTGATATTTTGAAAATCTCTAATATTACCGCTATTGTCGGATGTATAAAGCAGATTCAAGTGTACGGAAAGATGAATTTCTTCAAATATTCAATCTCATACATATGTCTTGTATTCACAAATATGTCTCACTCTAACAATCCATTTACTTTATGAACTCAGATAAAGATATAAACTTATAGAAACTTGTTTGCAATCGTTCTTAAAAACAAAAGAGAAAAAATCAAAAAAAAAAAAAAAAGGATGCAGATGTTTATATTTGTGTAATTCTTCTTCATGTGTATCGTATGACGAGAACAAAACAGAGATGAGTCTAGAAAATGAGTATCATAGACGATGAAGCCAATACAGTAGAATTTCTCTAATTTTGACTCTAGTAGGTGTATAATAATTGACAGGTGTATTGAACATGTTTTTTAAGTCTTCTCTCATTCTGAGATGTTCTCTCTCTCTCTCTCTCTGCAGTCTCAGTCTCTATGATCAGTATCTTGAATTTTCTATGTTTACAGACGATTAAAAAATCTATTTTTTAATTCTAGTTTACCTTACCAAAATTGAATTTTAAAGTAAAATTTTCACTTTTTTCTTATACTGAAAAAATTATACAGAGTCGTCTATATTTTCAACATTATTGTAATATTTAGGTTTCATACAGACGTGATTATAAAGAGAGAAAACAATTTTGAGGGAGAAATTTTAAAACTGTTCAAGCCATTTTTTGCAGAATTGTTCGAATGAAGAAGAAAAAAAAAAAAAAAAGAAGAAAAATTTTGACGTATATTTTCCTAATAATAATATTTTTTAAAGTATTACACTATTAAAGCAAAACCTTTCAGGCGTGATTAAAATGTTCGAACAGACATAGAAGAGAAACTCAAAATAATTGAAACAAACGTATTTCTTTCCAGGTCACATGTTGAAATCTAACGCCGCTTTTTTATACTCTTTCTCCGGTTAATTAATTCTTTTTCTTTTCTTCTTCTCTATGTCACCTGCTTTTTTCGTTTCCCGTCCAAACTTCTCTCGGAATGAAGAGCTATTATATCTAATCTGTATATAATAAAACATGATAAGAATGTACATAAACTCAATTTTGAACAGGATCAAAAGATTAGGAAAATATCTTCTTAAACACAACACAACAAGGAATAAAGAAAAACACAATTATAAAATAATAGCATTCATAACGATGTAAACAGAAACATCAATGGATCTACCTACCTCCTTCGAATTTTTTTCTTTTTTTCAAAAATGATGAAGAAAAACAAACAAAAAGAAAAAGGTTGTTTATTGTAATCTCTTTTGTTATCTATTCTAAATATGAACTTGTTCGAAAAAAACATAATATTACCTTTGTTTTTTTTTCTTTCTTATATCAGTCAATACACTAGAAAGTCAAAAAAAAAGAAATTGAACAAAAATAGATAGATAATTACTTGAAATAAAAGTCAAAAAGTATGAGCTATAAAGAGTATGAGGTAGAAATATTTTTAACCTAATTTTTCTAGAATTAAATAGAATTATTAGTAGAGAATAGGCTCAAATATCTTGAGATCTGATGGTACTATAAATATTAGCTGCCCATTGTTTTAGCTCTATTCGACTAGAAAGATTTTGTTACATGAAATTTGTTTTGATCTTTGAACAAGACTAAATTTTTTTCTTTAACAGTCTCATATCCACTATAATTTATTCTATCCTAGTGCTCTTGACACTCTAGTGGTATACACAGCTAATAGATAAGAGAAAACACTTTATATATAGCTATTTAAATTATGTTTCGTTCAATTGATCACATTTATTTTACTAGAGTCAATAACACTATTGATTCTCAACTGAAGGATTTACAATAAAAAAAATCTTACTAAGAAGACTTCATCTAGTTTCAGATAAATATATCAGAAAACAAAATTTTAATTGCCAGAATATTTGATCATATGTGTACTCAATTTTTAGCATGCAATGGAGGCTCTCAAAATTCTTGTCATATCTATTATTAATATTGTCGAATCTAATGATGCTTAATCACGGTTCTTTCAAATGAAAGAGTCTCTTAGTTAGCTAAGATCAGAGATCTGTTTACGATTATTTTTCATTTTTCAAGAATTCAAGAATATCAAGTATATTAACGGAGTGTTTTTTTTTATTATAAGAACATGAATTGCTGATGAGAAAATCCAACTTCTTACTAGTTTTTAAATATTATATTTTTTACAGATGATTTTGTTTTTCTTTTTTTTCTTCTTCTTCTTCTTTTCTACGTGTGAAGAAGCAGAAGTATTAGAGAGAATGAAACAGATAGATTTATCAGTAAATTATTCGTACAACTTATTATTTTTTTTCTTCAAATATATCGATTTCTGTGTTAATTTAGAGTAATTACATGGAATTTTTTTTTTACTTTGTAATCTACATAACTGTAATACACATAAAACAGGGATATAAATCGTTGACAACAATAGGAAGAAAAATATTGTTTTAATTTTTTATTTTTTATTTTTTATTTTTTTTTTGTACACTCTTTTCACAAACACACACACACATACGCATACACATAAAAAAAAAGCAGAAAAATTCACGTTTCAATCGTCGAAAAGTATTGTTGAGAAGAACTTTAAGAGAAAAAAAAAAGAGTCAAATCTATAATGTAATTGTAACAGCACACTTGAATATTTTTTTCTACTCTTTTGTCCATTGATGTTTCACAACAAGTGCACGCATAAAAAATTCAAAATTTATCCTTGGAATTTTACTTCTTCTTGTTTTTCTTCTCCTTCTTCTTTTATTTGTTTCAAAAGAAGAAATTCTGACACTTATTTAAGACCAAACACAATATACAGAGATCATACGTCATCTGTTTTATTCTTAAACAACATTTCTAACGATACAAATGGCAAATGTGTTCTATGAGAATAAATATATGTCAGATGATTAAGATCTTGTATGATAAATAAAAATCAGATATTCAAGACAAAATTTGATTTTAAAAAAACTAAAATTCTGTCTCATATTTTGTCCATAGTTTCTTCTTTAACCTTCAGTAATTTGAAATCATAAACATACTCAATTTCCTTTCTAGTTTGAAATCAAAGAAAAAACAGCATGTATTCCATCCATTTGTATCATAGTTTTTAAAAAAAATTGTAAAAAGAATGTAAAGATTAATTAAATTTCATTTATAAGAATACGCCTCCAATAATTTATTTCATTTCTATATTATCGCTGTATTTTTAATATATGATTCATTTTAGTTAACAAAAAATAATAAAATGTTTTACTATATAACTACATTAATCTACTGATTTATAAAATTTGATAGTGAAAAAATCAAGACTTTCTTGCCTTATTTCA